TATGACGTGAAACTCAGAGCCTAAAGGTCCTGGGTTCGAGCTCCTGGCAAGATCATTTGACAGATATGACAAATAAAACTCATTGTGATAGTTAAGTAGTCAAACACACCATGATTTACCGACGCAGCAACCATCCGTACTAAATTAACCACCATTACATAATTGTGCTCTTTGGTACTGTCTATCAATTTCTATATTTTGAGCATGTCGCCTTTATAATTCTTCAATATATTGTATTTTGATTGTTTGCTTATTTCTTATCCTAACTTTAGTTTCCTATAAACGCGAGTTCGTCAAGATCATGTATTGCTGATGTATGCCAAATTTGTTTAAGGCATTTTTTGAGGACCTATGATCACTTTTGCATCATCGACAGCCATCATTAAGAATTAAGATCTCATTTGTTCTTTTCGAAAACAATTTCTTTTGTATGCAGCCTCATTTTTGCTCGCATAAAATTTCTAGTTTACTGTCTGTAAGCTGATTTTGATTTTCAGGTATTCCTATCCTGTTGGTTACCGGTTCAAGCATATTGAGAGCGCATAAATCAGTGGAATACGAGTACTGCAGGCAGGTGCAAAGTCTCTCTTAATATTTGAATCTTCTTTCAGATGCTGGAACGAACTGGCTACATCAGATTACATTTTCCTTGGACCAATTCTGCTGGCTCTGTTTGTAAATCAAGTGACCGTACTTCTTTTTTGCCAATTTCTCTGACATGTCTGTCAGAATAAACTAGAAACTAGGAATCTACGCATAGGCCCGAAAGGGCACAACAATAATGTGTAGCATTTTCAATACGTTTATAAGCAATGTTTGTTTTTGTCTTAGATCAGTTCACGATATGCTAGAATTTGTCAGATTTGTCAAAATTAGTGGACTGTATTCATGGCATACGTCGACAAAGCAATACACATGTCGAAACATGGGAGGTACTTATTCAACTATGGCACTGTAGTGAACGTAGTTAGTTTGACTTCACCATCGGAGGATACGATACCCACTTTTTCTTTCGCCGTCTTCTCGTATCTTTTTTTCATTTTCTCTCTTACTCGGCTTCTTTTTTTGTTTGAACTGCTTTCTCGTTAATCGCCTGTTCTTTCCATTTGTCCTTCTTGTTTATTTCTTGTTCTTCTTTTTCCTATCCGTCGTCGGGTTCAGATCTAATGTGCTTAACAAACGATCGATGGCAACCTTATTTTTCTGAGCATGTGCAAAATTCTAACTAGAGACGAAGCAAGCAATCGTAATATGTACGAGCAGCATCGACAGGGTGTCTTATTTCGACGACACAGCTGCTAAAGTAGACTGCCCCAAGCGTTTGATTTTCTCATAACCGATTTATACTATATTCACTGTGAGATTCTTCAAATTCTATATGCGTCTTTACAACATATTTTTATACATAAAAAGCTTATCGATTTACGACAATGCAAACTGTTTCATTTAGATCAACCTGGTAATTCTTGTTATCGTGCTGCACATACTGATGACGAAGCTTAAGGTAATAATGTTCAGGTACAAGTCAGAATTGTCGAAATATGATTTGTTTTAGGGTACTATTCATGGAGAAGTGAAAAGATTCAAGTTAGCTGACATTTTTCATGTTCCTCTGGCGTTAATTCACACTTTGCACTCACTATAGGAAAATAACGAAAGCACTGTTTGTGCTCTGTCCGCTTCTTGGCACCAATTACATAATCGCTCTAATTCCGGTCGATCATCCGAGGTGGTTGCACATTGTTCTGTCATATTATGTGACCATGATGACATCATTCCAAGTAACATATTCAACTAACAGCAACATAATTTGAAGTTTATTGCAACATTTAGGGCCTGATCGTTGCCATACTGTTTTGTTTCACGAACAGCGAGGTGATTTTTATTCATTATCAACTTACTTGTCATTTTTTTTAACTTATATTATTTTTTAAGCACGATTGCTTGCCTCTTTTTGTTGCCTTCTCTCTGAAATGTTTGCATCTGTGTGCTATCTCCCTTTCATAATGTCTTCTTATTTGCTTTCAGCTGTTCAGTTAGCGATGGAAAGACATCACTGGCAGTAGGCATTAACTTCACAGGAATTCCTCGTCTGAGTCAGATCTAGATCGACCTCACATCCCCTGTATGAAACCCCTGTTTCCTAACATCTTTGGCAGCAGCTGACAGAGAAAGAAAACCTAATTACTTTCTAGTCGTTTTGTCGATAACGTACATATGTTCCCTCCGCCTCTGCCTGGTGTACAGATGTCCTAAGAAAAAGTCAGATGATGCCATTCTTTACATTATTAGACATTATGGTCAGCAGCCAGTG